TTGGCGCTTTAGTAACCGCTGAAGCGATTTTGCGGCCGAGACCATGATTATTATTATTATTATTATTGTAAGCAGAAGTGGGTTGCCAACAAATCTGCCAACACCTTCAAAGTAGTCCCCTTGGGCAGCTATACAACGCTTCCAGCGCGTTTTCCATGCTTCGTAGCTTCGACTGGGATGTCCGCAAGTACCCCCGTCACGGCTGCCTGGATGTCCTCAATCGACTCAAAATGGGTTCCTTTAACCACCAATTTTTTTCTAGGGAACAAAAAAGTCACAGGGTGACATATCGGGCGAATAAGGCGGTTGTTACAACACGGCGATCCCTTTAGAGGCCAAATAATGGGACACGCTTAAGGCGGTGTGGCACGGTGTGGCACATTCGAACTGTTTAACGTCGATCTTCACGGATTAAAGCGCACATACGCTGCGCATTCGTGTCAGTCCGCACCTCGACTGGTCTCCCGCTCCGTACCTCGTGATTTAGTTGATGACGAATACTCTCTTCGTCCGCTGTACATATTTGAAGAGTTCAATTTATATTTTCACAGGGTTTTACTCGACCAAAAGAGAAGGTTCTCAATTCATCGTGCATATTTATGTTTTATAGTGACCACGACGGAAAAATTCTCAACTAGAGGGGTAAATTCTTTGACTGTGATTACTTTTTCTATCTTTCAAAGTTTGGTCCCATATAAAAGTGAGAAATAAAAACAAGAATTATTAAGCAAAGAAGAAGTGAAAGAAAAGTTTTTTAAAAAGAAATTAATTCCGCAAAAAACTTTTTTATTAATGCAATGATTACTAGCATACGAAAGACCAGGGTCCGACCAACATCCGGCAAGGAATGTCCACCCCTCCGAGTGTATTTCGGACATGAAGTATAGCTTTTGATGAAAAACCCGCCAGCCGTTCGGAGGCGGCTCAGAATAAACTGTAAGTCCATCCGTTTGTTCTGAAAGCCCAAAACGCGCACCACAAATCGGAGGGGGAACTCGGCCGAAAATTACTTCAGCGGTTACAAAGCGCTAATTATATACATAGGAGTATATTAAAAAAAAGCTTTTATTTTATTTATACATTAATAGCAGCACCTAAAATCCTTTAAATTATGGCAAATTCAAACATTTTGTGATTTTTTCAGTGCACACAATAATGGCATTTATATTCTGTCTACCGTTTAAAGTGAATATTTTATTGGCTATATTTTTTAAATAAATTTTTTCTTCTCACTCTTTCAAGCTTTTTCATTTAATTCTCTTTTTATCTCTTAATAAGCTATTGTTTCTGTTACCCATTTATACTAATCCCTAATTTTTTTTTTTGTTTTTTTCGAATCTATTGTACGTACACAAAAGATTATCTCTATTTTTCGAATTTCATTGCCACCACCACCCGCTATTGTTTGTCTTTGCTGGTGACAATATTATATTGCCAATTGCTTTAGTGCTGTTTTAGATTTTTATTTTTCACTCTTATTTTTTATGTATTGTGCTGAATTAAGCTTTTTTCTTCACTACTTCAGTCGCTGCTGCACATTTTCATTCATTTCATCTATTATTCATGCAGTGTTTGCTTTTCTCCGTTATTCATTGTTATGCAGCAGCACACTCTGCGGTACAAATATATGTATGTATATGTGAATATATGTAGGTATATAAAGCGTTATATTTTGTATTTGTTTACTTTTTGTTTTTATATAGATTTTTCTTTGTTTATATATATATTTATATATATATATATATAATTTTTTTTTTTTGATATAAACATATATATTTATATTTTATTTTATCTACTTTTTTTATTGTTGTTGTTTTTGTTGGCGCACAGCTGGTTTAATTGACATAACAGCTGTTACAAACATGACAACAGATTATTACGCTCGCAACCCAACTCGAATCAATCAACCGGCTTAAGCGCCTGGGAGAAAGAAGCACGGCAAATGCGGAAATTGATTGGAAAAATAGCAAAGACACTTGTGCAGCGCACATTTTTTTTTTTTATTATTCCATCAAGGATTCATTCTTTTTTCTTGGCAGTTTTTATTGTTATTATTTTAATGCTTTTCTGATTTATTTTTTATTTTAAATGCAAATAATTTTTTTATTTCTTATTATTTTTTGTATTTTATTTGTATTTATTGAATATTTTTGCATTTATTTATGGGAGAAACTGTTAAGAATAATTTCATTCACCTTCGCCTAATTGGCTCAGCAAATAATGATGACCCGCTCAAGTGTACTCCAGCAGCAAAAGGCAGCAGCAACAGCATCTACAACGTCTGGTAAACCTGCTTAGTCTTCAATAAATGCAAACATATTTACATTGGTATTTGAGATGAGATTACGTTTTTCATTCATTCACATTCTCACTTAGTCAATCAAATTTGCAAATTATTACGAAAAGCTAATTTTCTAAACGCTTGAGTATGCTCTTCGTGAAATATAGTTTCTCTTCTCTCTTTTAATTAACTAACATATATTTTATGAAAAGAAAACAAGAAAAATACATACAAATATCATTAGAATTGGTTGTGAAATTCAAGAATTTTGCTAAATTAAATATATAAGGCTTAGTAAAAAGTAATCCATTATTTTTGTATGATGCTCTCTCTCCGCGAAACCCTTAATCCTGGTGTCAAAAAGTGAAGACAATCGATTTTCACAGGGAGAGCATTCTTTACTAGCCAAACCACTCGCTATAGACAGGAACGGTAGGTAATGCATATAAACTTCCTACCGGAATTCTCGGAGCTTCTGGCGAGTCTCTGTCAACTCTGTGTAGTCTGATGTTGTCTTGATGAAGCACAATTCCCCTACTTTTGGCCAAAGCTGGGCGCCTCTGGGCCTTCGCTTCTTTCAAACAGTACTATTACTGACATTGCAGGCTTGAATTAAGAGTTTGATCGTAGAGGAGCAGCGCATAGTGGTTCATACCTAGCCAATCCCACCTAATACACAAGAAAACCTACCCCGCCGCATATGCTGGCTTAAAGACCGTTTGTGCTACCTAACTGTCCTCCAACTTTGAGCGTGTTCGTTTGGCACTGCTGTAGGTGATCAGTTTGTCATCATCCGCTTGAGAAATGGGAGGATTTTCATTTAACAACTATTCGGAGGTTTTTTCGCATTAACTCATGCAGTACCCATACATCGAGCTTCTTTGAGCTTCCAGCTTTATGCAAGAGCTTCAAAACTTTTTTGTGTGCAATTTTTAGCTCCTGTGCAATCAAAGCAGTGGTCGCATTGCGCTCAGACACGACGATTTCCCTTGTTTTATCGACACTGTGGAATATCTTATACATCAAAATTTCCGGAACGAAATCGACGAAACCAAAATTGTACATGTTTGACTGATACAGTAAACCAATCGCACTTATAAAACGCAAGATACAGAGCACTTAATTCAAATTGATAGTCATAGCGAACATAAAGAAATGCATAGAATCGAGCATTAGACTAGTTCTGGTTATACTGTCTGGTTTTGTTATGCGCCAACTGAAGGTTCAGTTTAGTTCGAACAAATATCAACGCTATTTTCGAAGTTAACCATAGCCTTGATATCCAATTTTTATACCTTATCCAGTCCTTCGAACTGTGAGTCTTCTAGATATCTAAGACGGGCTCTAGATAAGGGCTGACTAAGGCAGAGGAGCTCTACCAGCGTCTCATCCATGCCTTTCTCCCTGTACTTTCTATATGAGTCACTATTACTAATGGCTAGTCTGCTCATGTGTGATGCCAGTAGGCTAGTTCACCACAATAGATTCCTGTCCCCACTCCATTCGCCATTTTGGATTCGTTCTTGCAAATGGTGCTAGTTCTGCTGGCGGTCTGTATGATCCTGTGCTATAAGCTCACTTTTAATATGATTTAAACCTTCTTTCGCAGATAAACCCAGGTATTTTGTTTACTCTGTCCTCTACATTGAACTTACAAAACAGCTTTCTGTGCAAAATTACCTCTCTCTCCCAGGTAACTCCTTAACAGTTGGCCCAACCCTATTGAGCCTCGGCAGTTTCCATACAGGGGTCTTGTACTTTTTTTTTTTTGGAAGAAGCACGGTATTTAACGGTACTTAACTCCAAAATAGCAGATATTGTTCACCGGTGTATGGCTCTTAGAGCGCTCTCCAGCACCGTCACTTGTGTGTCGTCAAGGTAACACGAAATGTGTCCTCAAACTATAGATCATATCTCAGAAAACAGAAGATCTGGCGGGTCACTATTCGATGGAACTATATATGCAGAAAAATTGAGATCTTCTTCTGTGTGGAGATGCTGAGGGCGCTGTAAAACTGATCAATAGGATGAAACTCATTTCCTAGCCGACTACACTGCTCTGACCTTTGTTACGTTTCTAAACTTAAATACTATATTTCTTGTAAATCTCTCCGCTATCCAAGGAGGTTCATAAAAGCCTTGAAGTTTTTCTGCCTTAAAATTATATCTGTAACTTTGAACTTCCTCAGGCTTATAGCCGATAATGAAGTGTTAACAAATATCTTTTCTTCCAGAGAACGAAATTTATAGCAGATTTGCCAATTTATTTTCAAAATAAACTTTAACATGTGTACATACATATTTAAGTGCAGTTGTGCAGACCAATCTACTTTCCAACCCATTACTTAATTCTTAAGAAATTTGTTTTTACTGATCGATGTCGTACAAATACAATGTAAATACTCGTATATAAATACACAAAAAAAAAGGGCAACGAGCTTTTCAAATCTCTGCATTTATGCATCGGCATTGTTCGGCTACGGCTCGTGTGTGGCGCGTGCCTCTCTTGCGGTCGTTGTGTTGAGAGCTTTACGCTGTGAAGAATTTTACAGTATACATATATAACGGTATAGATCGTTGCTCTCTGCTCTCTAGCCTGCTGCTACTAAATATATATCTATATACGTGTATGTGTGTATATTATACATATGTATAACCTATTATGCGATGATTTTCGTAATTGAAAATAATGGATACACTTTACCGGATTTATTTTTAGGTTATAAGTCTTTTTCATGGCAGCCAAACCGAATCCAAGACAAAAACCGAACAATGGAACGAATGTTGAAAATTACTTCCACTCACTCACAAATTGAGCGTGTGCGTTTAGACGGCGCGAGCACATCGTGGCTGAAAGAAGGTACTCGCACACGCGCGGCAAGTCGGTCAAATTTGGGCGAAAAATCGTTGGAAAATACTATATAATAAGTACATATATGTATGTATGTATGTAGATATTGAAAAAATTCAAATCATATTTATTTTTGGTGTGGAGGCTGAAAAAAACCCGTGAAGTTTTCGAAATATTTGTGGAAATTAAATATTTGTGCAATTAAGTGAAAATTTTTGAAAAATTTTGTAAATATCGTATTGAAAAATATTGAAATATATAAATTTTTACGGTAACTTCGTGCAATAGAAAAGTGATCAGTGAAATTTGCTTAAATACGCCAAGTGTGTATCTATAATAAAATTTTTGTGATGTACAGTGTGTGTGGTGCAAGCTTATGTGCTTATACATATATATATGTAATATATATAGATATGCATGTACATACATATGTATAAAGCGCTTATATGTATGTACATACTTATATACTACAAAGGCAAATAGCTTATTTATTTCACTATTGTAGCTGTTGTTGTTGTTCTACTTGGTTATATCTTTTGGATTGAATTTGAATTTGTGATTTCGGCACGAGTCCCCACACACAACGTTGTACATACGGTACGATACGGTTGCTTGTGGATGGATAGCTCAAGAGCTCAACAGCTTTGCGCTTTCCGCTGTACGCTTTACGCTCTCGTTTCTGGTTGCTCTGCATTATATGCACTTATATGTAATACATACATATACTGTACGAGTACATACATACATATAATATATATATATATGTAGATGATTTTCAAATGAAAATTCTTCTTGCGTGCTAGCTAAAAGCTATTTTTAAAAAACATACAATAGTAGACTGATATATACATATATATATACATATATAGATATTGAATAAAAGTGCGACTACATGAAAAATTGTGACCGCATGTTTGTATATATATACATACATATTATATATATATCACCTCCTGGCAGTATGACGTCTGTGCGTGTGCATGGGTGTGTGTGTGTGTGAGTGAAATTTCCGTAATGTCTTGTTAAAATTCTTTAAAATTAAATTACATATACCTATATATACATATGTATAGCGAAAAGTTAGCAATTGAAGTGTTTTGAAGAGGAGAAAGTACCGTTGAGCCCAATCCAAATCGAAACGAGGCTGAGATAGGCGAAAAAGCGCACAAAAAGGGTGTTAAAAAGTCTTAAAACTGCTGTGGAAAAAAAGAGTCGGTGTTAGTGCATATAAACGCTTGACAGGAGTTGTTGTTGCTGTCTAATTGAAAAACGCTTCGAATAATAAGAAGAGAAAAAAATACTCAAAACCCAATAATTGCGGTTTGTAACTTTGAAACCTCTCCAACAACACTACTGCTGCATGCCTTTGGAAAAGAGCATTGCAATTACAACAACGTCAACTTTAACACAAACACCGACAACAACACTACCAGCTTCTAAAACGGAGCATGCCAACCTTAACAACAACCAACTCCATTCAACAACGCCGCCGTCGCCACAGTTCGTGGATGCTCTTTTAGCTGTACGCCGTGAAGATATACTTCTTCGTCTTCGCTATCGAATTTTTATAATTGGAAAAATTTAGCGAAATATAAACGGTAACTATAAAATAAAATATATATATACATACATATATATCTACTAAATAAAATTCATACATGTATGTACATATGTATGTATAGTTAAACGAAATCACCACTCATTCTTATGCCATGAATCACTAATTATTATTTTGGCTGCTGAGCGTTTTTTGCACGCTGAAGAAATGCCATTATTTATCTACCTGTGTGTATGTTTCACGTCATCGTGTTTGCCGCGCCGCACACGTAAGCCGATTCAGTGTATGTGTGTTCTGATAACATTTTGTAGCGCATTAATTCTATTTAAGTTGGTAAAATATCTACATACATACAGACAATTCAAAGTCACGACATTGTTTTTTGTATGATGTCATTATTTTTTTCGAAATCATTTAGGTGCTTATCGGACTGTACAGTATTTTATTTTTATAATTTACCATAATAATGATAAAAATAGAAATTTATTTTAAACACAATATTTTGTGGATTTTATTAAAGACATTGATAGAGGTGTTGTCAGGCAGTGGAAATATATGTATATCCTGAAGATTCTTTCATCAAAAATAATTTAATTTTTTATGTGAAAGCGGTTTTAGAATTGTCTTGATGGGAAATTTTCTACCACAAAAACAGTTCAAAAGCTGCTCTCATGGAATTTACTAAGAAAATATAACTTTTTCCCTTGAGTACTGCTCTTTGCTTCTCCTTATTTGCTTAGTTTAAGTCACATTTTCGTTGTTTAGTTGTCGTTCCACTCTAAATTATGGTGAATTGACTATCTTTTGATTAAAAAACTGAAAAAAATATTTTTCTCATCTCAAAAACTAAAAAATAGAAATTATATAAAAGAACGGCAAGAGCGCATAATTCAGCGAGAATTTATCCTCTCTGTTATGATTTGAAAATTTTCATACTTTTGATAAAAGAAAAGTGTCAACACTTTAATGATTGTTTCAGGCAGAATGAAATATAAGAAATTATTAATAAAAGTATTAAGAAAAAATAAAAATAAATTAAAAAAATTATTTAAAAATATTTTATTTAAAAAAAAACACTTATTAAAAAAAGAAATAAAATTTAAATTCATTTTAAGCTAGTTCAACTAAATTGAGAATGCAAAATTGATATTAAAAAATATTAATTAAAAAGAAATGAAATTAAAAGTCAATTTAAATTTAAAAATGAAAGTAAAAACAAAATTAAACTGAATTCGATTACGTAAAACGATATAGTTCAAAAATAAAACTTAAACTAAGTTTAAAACTAAAATCAAGTTTGAAATTAAAATTGACACTGAAAATGGAGACAAAGACTAAGTTAAATTGAACTAAACTAAATAATAAATAACTAAATTAGTTAAAAGGTGTGAAAATAAAATTGGAATTAAATTAAAAATCATAATTAAAATAATATTATTATAATATAACATAATATAAAAATCGGTTAAACTAAATTAAATAAAATAATATAAAAGTAATTTTAAAATTAAATTTTAAAATAAAAATTAAATTAAACTGAATTAAATCGCATTAAACAAATTTGAATTCAATTAAAATTAAAACTAAAAATAAATATATTGAGTTGCATTTAATAATGGAAATAAAATTAAGCCGAATTGAATTGAATTAAATTAAATTGAGTAAAATATATTAATATTCAGTTTTTAAATATAAAAATGTTTCGGTAAAAATTAAATCATAATTAATATTAATATTCAAATTAGCTTAAAAAAATATAAGCTATACTCCGAATTGAAATATGTAAATATATATTTGAGATGAAATTAAAACTAAATTTGAAATAAAATTATTTTAAGCTAAATAAAGTAAAATATTTAAATAAAAAAAATAAATTTAAATTTAAATTTTAGTCAAAACTAAAATAGTAAAATATATAATTATATCGATTGATATTTAAGGTAAAATATATGTACACATAGTGTTATAAAAATTAATATTTAAATATAATATAAAAAAAAATTAATTAAATTTAATTAAACTAAATTAATGTATGTACAAAAAATAAAAATTATTGTTGAAAATAACAATATAATCAAATTTAAGAACGAAAATGATATTTAATTTAAATTAAATTAATTAAATTTAATCTGAAATCAAAACTTTAAAACAATTTAAAAAAAGGTATATGCAGCAGTTTTCTTTTCCTATCATCCATTATCCATATAAATTTTTCGAAAACTTAAAATTAATAATATATATGAAATAAAAAGAAAATAAATAAAGAAATTAAAAACTAAACAAAGTTTTGCGGATTCTTTACCATCCAATTATCTCTCGAGTTAATATACAAAAAGGCCTTTGCTGTTATAGGAAGCATTTGAATGACATTGCCACATAGGCACATAAATGAGACAAGTTCACACATATCTGATGCTCTACTTCTAAAAAGAGTAACAACTTTGTAAGTGAGTATCCGGAAAAACTCTCAGGCACAGTGTCCAATTCATTCATATATAAGGCTTTGTGCTGAATGACTGACGGAATAACTCACAACCTAAACCACTGGTCGTAGAGGCCTGAAACTTAGAGGATGTGTTCTGCGTATGACGTATGCACTTGATAAGCTATGATTTTTCGGACCTGGTGGAACTGATTTATATGGTATTAACCTGAATTGATATGGGGCAGACCTATTTTTTTTAGGGGAAGTGGGTCTGGGACGGATCATTTGAGTTTGAGTTGATATTTGGTACACAGGAACACTTTTCTTACAGAACTGGGATCGATCTATGCGAAAAATTTGCATTTATCGTTTAATTTACAAAACATTTGTGGCAGAAGTGAGCCTGGAATCGATTCGATGGTTCGTCTTTGCTTATCATGTGGGGTGTATACAATATATTAGAGTTTTTAAGTTATAATAAAATTAGTAATGTAATAAACCCAATAAATCTTATTAGAGGGAACTAAAATTTCCATGCGGACAAAGTCGCAAGCAAACTAGTAATTTGCAAATTAGTAAAAATAATGCATCAACATTGTCTGTTTTAATAAAATTTAGAAAATTATTACAAATAACTCATTTTGTAATTAGTTTCGCTTGCCATTTCCTTGATTCAGAGTCATGAACGCATTTGGCATTTTGTTAAAATTACCTCTGGTTATACGTATATACGTACTTATGTGCTGCGTTTATTGCATATATGATTGCATTCGCCCTCTCTACCCCACTCTCTCTCTCTCTCGCGCTACCTCTCTCTCGCTACTCCTCTCACTCCCTCTCTCTATTGCATGCAACAATCGGTGTAACGATCTCGCTCACTGCCGCCGAGTTAAGGCATAAACCGTTGCCGCCCATCAACACCTCATCGGGAAAAACAATTTTGACATTTTGAAAAATAATGTGGTGGCAGGAAACTGCCGTATTGTATTGTACGGAATTTATTGTGCATTTATTTCTGTATTTATACATACATACATATGTACATATGTTTCCACCGTCGAAATGTCAATGCGAAATGCACTCGAAAGCATTGAACAAAATCGAACAAGAACGACACTGGGCTGCGGATGGAAGAGTGTGGAAGTGTGTGGAAGAGCGGTAAGGCTAGGACGGGCGAAAAGAAATTAAACAAAATCATATTGACAAGTGCACAAGGCAAAATAAAAACAAAACAAAAAAAAATTTAAGAGGACGAAAATATTTCAGTGCGACAAACTGCAGCAACAGAAAACACAAAAATAACAACAATGACAGCACTGTAAGTGTATAAATGACAAGTGATTTTGAAGAATTTTTACATTCGCATTGTTGTTGCCGCTCTTTGCATTCGCAAGTGAGTGACAGTCAGACGACTGAAAATTGTGCATAAAATGCCGCGAGTGGCGAAACGAAAAAGTACAACAGATAAATAATGAAATAATTGTGTGTTGCCAAAATAATTATTGAAAATGTTGTGCGACATTAGTGGCTTGGTACTGTACTTGTATTCGTATTTGTACTTGTTGATTGCTCGTTAGTCGATCTTGACTAAAATACAATAAAGATTAACGGCAATAAGCATTATAAACTTATAGCTAGCATACATACATATGTATATATGTAGGTTTGCAAATATATGATCTTGCATTTCTTGAGGTTCGAAAGTCGCCTGTGGGCGTTCGCTCACAATTTGACAAACTGTCAGCTAGACAGACAGCTAAATCGGTGTTGAATGCAAAGAAAAAAATATTAAAAAATAAATAAGCTCAAGGGTGAGATGTTTAACGTATGCGAAATTCTTTCGTTTATTATTTTTTCTGCTAAAAATAATAATAAAGTTATTTAAAATACCATAAATCAACTTTTTTTTTAAAAAATTAAATGTGAAAAAAATTTAAATTCAAAGCAAAAAATATGGTGTTAAATGCGAGTTGAAGGCGAAAATTTTTTGGCGTATGCTCCGAAAATAAAAATATCTACAATACATAAATACTTATGTATATACAATCTATTTCACATTATTTAATATACCTTATTTACTTTGGTGCTCCATTTTTTGTTTTACTACTATTTACTCTTTCGGTTTCCTTTGAGTTGAAATTTTTTGCGTCACTTTTATATTCTCACTAGATAAATACTATGCGCTCTTTTTTTACCGTGAGCTCCCACACTCACCTCAATTTTCTCTAATTTACTCACATAATGAGAAAATTATTTACCGGCGTTTCTCTTCATTTTGATTGAGCTGTGAGAGCCCATTGAGATTTGCACAACGTTGCTACACCTGAGCGCCACACGAGACTGATGCACATATGTATTTTTTCAATTGTTGCTGCATAGACTATAATTTTCCAACTTCGAAATTCAATAAGTAACAGAAAATTTATTTTATGTTTTACGAATATTATGATGGAGCTGTAATGAGGTGTAGCCGTGCTTTTGGCTATGCAGTTACAGCCACAGGGCTATACTCGTCTCCTGCTCTTGCGTCCAAGTCGCACAATATGGTGCAAAAATCTTGTGTCACGGCTACAAGCGAGCCACTCTGACATATCGGCTTGGATAAGGGATCCCGC